TCCTCCTGCCTCCCCCCTTACCTCCCCCTGCAAACTCCCTCTCAAACTCCCCTGTTAGCTGCCCTGTTTGCTGCCTCCGGTGCCGCTGCTCGCAGCTGTGTGACTTGGCCTCAGTTGGCCCAGCGCAGGCAGAAGGATCCTGGGCAGGACCCTGGTTAGTGAACCTCAGCTGGAGGTACTTCAGACTGAGTCTGGCTGGCACAGCCCAGGCCAGGCCAGAGTTTTAAAGCTATTTAGTCATTGCTGTGCTCAGTGTTACAACACCTAACTGACTTAGGAACCTAAATCAGATTTTCAAAAGGGATTTAGGCGTTCAGGAGCCTAAATCCCCATGAGCAATTGATAGGATTTAGACTTAAGAGCCCACATCCCTTTGAAAATAAGACATAGGCTCCTAAATCAGTTAGGTGTTGCACATTGAGTGCAGCAATGCCTAAATGGCTTTTGAAATCTGGGGCCAAATCTCCAGGGAGTGATTCCCCCAGTTTTCTTTCTGTTTGCTTTCAGGGGGGCATCAGCAGGACACGGAGAGGAATGTGCAGTGAGAACACATCATCCACCCCGTGCGGTGCTCTGTCCCCCTCCACTTGTGGAAAGGCCACACATAGACATCAATGAGCCTGCTACAGCTGTGGCTAGCACAACTGGTCTTTTAGCTCCGGCACTGGGGGACCATGTTTTTGACAGCAAGAGTTCCTAGCTTTGCTCCCTGCTGTTGACAACCCCCTCATGGGGGTGGCCTTACAAACAGACCCAAGAAATCCCCCTCCTCCAGGTATTTGACTCCTTGGGTTAATTTGCCTTTGTCTTCCTGGTGATAATTTGGCTTGTTTCAGGACACAGAACACAGAATGGTACCCCCACTCGTTTAGCCATCATCTGATTCCTGGTGAAATGCAAGCCTGTGACATCACAGCTGTGAGCTCTATGGCTGAGCTGGAGGAAGGCATGGGAGCTGGAGTGTGAATGCCTGTGATGTTACAGGTGTGCATGGGAGCTGGTGTAATTTGGCCAAGCAAGAACATACGAACAGCCATACTGGTTCAGACCAAAGGTCCATCTATCCCAGTATCCTGTCTTCTGGCAGTGGCCAATGCCAGGTGCCCCAGAGAGAATGAACAGAACAGATAATCATCAAGTGATCCATCTGCTCATTCCCAGCTTCTGACAAAGAGAGGCTAGGGACACTATCCTTGAACATCCTGGCTAATAGCCATTGATGGAACTATCCTCCATGAATTTATCTAGTTCTTTTTTTAACCCTGTACAATAAGTAACCTTCCCCCCCAATCCTGTACCCCCATCTCCTGTACCTTATCTCCATGGGAGGGGGGAGGGGGGTGACGATGACACTACAGGGCTCAGGACTGAGGGAGCTTGCTGTCAGCAGCTTCTGTCTCAACTTGCTAATCTACTTAAAAAGGCAATGTACTTACAGGGGCGTCAGCCTACAAAGGGGCAACGTGCATCTCTCTCTCTCACACAGGGTGTGTCTCTGTCTCTCTCTGCCATGCTGTCTCCCCTCCCTCCATTCGTGCTGCCTTGTAGTGTGAGGTTACATTAAGAACAATATGTTAACCATTGAGGGCTCAGCCGAGTGCTAGTTCATCATTTAGCAGTAAGGCATTCCTTGGGAAATATCCCACCCTCTGGCTTCACCACCTCAACCAAGCTTCACAATCATCATTGCTGTGTACAGTATTAAATTGTTTGTTTAAAACTTATACGGTGTCTATGTGTGTATATATATATTAAAATATAGTCTTCTCTGGTGAAAAAAATTTCCCTGGAACCTAACTCCCCATTTACATTAATTGTTATGGGGAAATTGGATTCGCTTAACATCGTTTTGCTTAAAGTAGCATTTTTCAGGAACATAACTACAACATTAAGCGAGGAGTTACTGTATAATGTTATTCCCCTGTTAATATTCCTGTGACATTGGTTTATTAGTATTAATGCTTTTTGTATATTTATTTTTATTATTTCATTATCAATTACAGTAAAAACTGTGTTATCTGGCACTTTACCAACAGGAAAGCTCTATTAACAGGCATTTCTGATCTCTCCCAATACAAATCTTCAATCTAGTAACTGGGACTAGTATATTGCCCAGGAGGTTATGCAATTGCACATTCTACACTCTACTTTTATGCAAAAGAGGCAGAAGACAAGTCAGCAAGGCGATATCAGAGATTTATTCAAAAAAGCAGCTTCTAGGGTGTGTCATAGGGTCATTACAGATTTAGCCCCATTTCCTACACCTTCTACATCTACAATGATAATTTATGTTGATAATGATGATCCTGAGGCACTGCAAGATCCTGAAGTGCCTTCTGAATCATCAAAGAAAGATGAAATTATATTCAGTATAGTTTTAGTGTTAAGTGGATTTTTTGTGTTCTGGGTGTATGCCATCCGCTGCCCTTAGTGATATGTAGTGTCATAAGATAACCTACTGTATAGAAAATTTTACCTGTATACACCTAAGTGCTTCAAGAAACCAACCACTCTGCAGTGCAGTACTACTACTGGATTGGTGAGTACCTGTCTACTATTTTATACTTTATTCATTTTATTGTATTCTAATTCTTTGAAAATTGGTATTCCATTGTAAGTATAACTCTTAGTTAACTGGAATATTTGATTAACTGGCACCTCCTATTCCCCCAACATGCCAGATAACAAAGCTTTCACTGTACTTTCAGTTACTTTCCCATCTCAAATAGGTATATCTTTTGTGTACATGTACACACGTATACACACACCTTTCCTTGATAAGTCCCTAAGGAGCTGTGCCAGCATTTCAGCCATCATACAATTATTTTATTTTGATTTATAAAGTTTCCCTTGGGAGCTTTCTCAAACTACATATGCCTGCAGTTTAAAATAAAAAAGTATAAAACAGAAAGATACCCATCAACTACAAAAAGGTTCCTGCTACTGGATTAACTCAAGTACTTTCCAACCATTTCCACCCCCATACACTGCAAGATACTTGGGTCTTCTTTAACGGTGTAAAATTATACTTGGAGTCCAATCTTTCCAACAAGCTCTAGAAAATATTCAAGAGGGAACAATCTTTTATTGGTCCCTGGGAAAGTCTTTTTTCTATTTATCTATTTTCTCCATACACATCCCTCTATCTGTCGGCTTAAGCATTTCCATACCGACCATAATCGTTGTATGTAAGAGAGCAGTATCAAACATCCAGCTGCCGGAAGTGTTTGTGTGCTTCCTCTGGCATGTCCAGATCCTGCAGAATCTAAGCTTTCATTTGTTAGGGAAGGGAACCTTCCAAACACCAGGTAAGTCTGGTTCAGTGGTGTCTGCAGAAAGCCCCGCCCCCTTTCCTCTTGCGGTGGGGTTTACGCTAAATCCCTATGGCACTGTACATGCCAGCCCGACTGTGTCATTGCTTGTCCTTGTAGCTGAGGGGATGGGGGGAAAGGGAGTAATGGCAGCATGAACTGCTGCAGCAGAGGACATGCTGAGGGAAGACAGAAGGAGAAATACAGAGGCAGGGGAGGGACACCTGGAAAGAAGGGTGGGGAAGACACCCAAAGGGTGGGAAAAAGCAGCAGATTTTACCAGGAAGTGATGGCGCAAGTGACTAATGGTGGTCATTAGAAGTATCAGGATTGGCTTTCAGAGATGCTGAGACTCCAACTGAGGGGAATGCAGCATCCTAACCCTGCCCATCCTCCCTCTGCTTTGAGCAGGGAGTTGGACTAGATGACTTCCTGAGGTCCCTTCTAACCCTGATATTCTATGATTCCTTAACCCCCAGTCCCCAGACACTTAATACCCCTAGCAGCCAGCTGGCCCTCTCTGCTTCCCACCACCCCCAATCCTGCCCCCTGGGTGTCTCGGGAAATCCCAGCTGCAATGCCCTCCTCTAGTGTGGCTCCTGAGGCTGGTGGCCCGGGGAAGCGGTTAAGGGGACGGGGGATCTTTCAGTCCAGAGAGATGGATGCACTGTCTTGGCAGGAGGCAGAAGAGCTTGGTAGCTCGGCAGCCAGTTCAACAGCACTTAAAAGGGGCTGGCTGAGGTCTCCCCTGACCTGTCTGGGGTTTGCCAGACCAGGTGTAGGCCGAGGGTCACTGATCAGTTTGGGGTTGGTTATGGCTACCTCCTCGCCCCACAGCCGGGCAGCTGGGTACTCTTGAGCCCAATTCCATGCCCGCCCGCTGGAATCGATGAATGTATGGTTCATTTCTGCCATCCAGTCGGGGGGCTCGGAAAGCATCTCTGCCTCATGGACCCTCTCATGCCTCGTGAGGCTGGAGAGCTGAGTGAAGCTTTTGCTGCACGCGGAGCATTTAAACGGTTTCAGGTCCGTGTGGGTGATCTGGTGCCTGGCCAGGATGGAGTGCTTGACAAAGCTCTTCCCACACTGGGTGCATTTATGGGGCTTTTCAGCTGTGTGGTGTTTGAGGTGCGCCCGGAGATTCGATCTCTGAGCGAAGCGTTTACCACACTCCTCACATGTGTAGGGCTTCCCCCCTGCATGGCTAATCTGGTGGAGGAGCAGCTCTGAGCTCTGAAGAAAGCATTTCCCACAATCCGGGCAGATGCTGGGTTTCTCGTTCGCGTGGATTCTCCGGTGCTCAGAAAGAGCTGAGCTCACCCCGAAGCTTTTCCCGCAGTCGGAGCACTGATAGCATTTCTGCCCCATGTGGATTCTCTGATGTGTCACGAGGCCTCTGCTGTCCCTGAACCTTCTCTCGCAGTCAGGGCATTTGCAGAGCTTCTCGTCCGACGGAAGTCTCTGATGTGTGAGAAGGGGGGAGCTTTCCATCTCCTCCTTTGCGTGCACGTGCTTGTGTCTAGCTAAATGGAACCTCATGCTGAAGCTCTTCCTGCAGTCCGGGCACTCATAAGGCCTCTCTCCCGTGTGGGTCCGGTGGTGCCTCGTGAGGTCTGAGTTGTTACTGAAGCGTTTCCCGCAGTTCGGGGCATTTATAGGGTCTCTCTCCTGTGTGGATTCTCTGATGGTGAATAAAGTTTGAGCTCTCACTGAAGCTTTTCCCACAGTCCAGGCATTTGTAGGGTCTCTCTCCCGTGTGCAGTCTCTGGTGGGTGATCAGGTGTGAGCTCACGCTGAAGCTCTTCCCACAGTCACTGCATTTGTAGGGCTTCTCTCCCGTGTGCAGCCGTTGGTGTCTAACAAGGGCTGATTTCTGGCTAAAGCTTTTCTCACAGTCGGGGCATTTATTGGGCCTCTCTCCAGAGTGGATTGTCTGCTGAACACTAAGTTCTGAGCTCTGTCTACAGCTCTTCCCAGACACAGTGTGTGTACCTCTATTTTCACCTCCTTTCCCTTCTCTCTGACAGGCTGAGATGTCTTTTGGTTTCTTGAGTCCTTCCCCACAGCAAGTGGGTTTTCTCTCTCCCTTCCCTGGCTGGTTTTTCTGATGTTTCTCCAGCCTGCGCTGACTCTCACAGGCTTCTCCCTGCTCATGACTCTGGGAAACATCCCTTTCAGCTCTTCCCAATAACATCCCAGGTGGTTCCACTTGCTCGGGACCTTCCTGCTGAGGGGTCTCCTCCTTGTTCTCCCTCACTGTCCTATAACCTGCTGGAACAGAGAGAATCCAGACAGGAGTCATTCCCTGTGCCGAGGAGACAGAGAACCTCAGAGAGGGGACCAGGAAGTGGGGGAACAAACCCAAATAACAAATGGAGAGACTGGAACATCAGGAGATGAATCCCCTGGAGGAAATGGGGGAAGGGACATTCCCACCCAAACACTCCAGCTGTCAGGCAGGGTGGATGGGAAGCTATGATGAGTGACATCTGCGATGAGGATACGACCCCTGTGGGGGACAGTCCCGGGGAAGGCAGAACTGGGGGAACACATGGGGTGTTGGTGGGAATCCCTCATTTTTACTTCACTTGCTGATGGCTACCAAGTTAGTTTAACCTCACCTGAAATCTCCCATTCCTCACAGCCCTGGAGATCTGGGACCCACAGCTCTTTCTTTTGTTCCATCTGAGAGCTCAGATTGGAGTTGTCAATGAGTAATCCTGCTCAGGAGAAAACACACAAACAACTGAAATCAGGGTTTATTCCATTTCCTTACAATAAGGTGTTACACGGTGCTTTAACCCATACTATTCCATACTGAGGGGCATGGGATCTGAACAGATAGGAACCTGGTCATGGAGACCCTTTGTGAGAGACAAATGCCTGCTGAGGAATGTATTGTTCCCCTTGTAGATTTTAAGGCCAGAAGGAATCATTATGGTCACTTTGTCTGACGTTAGGAGAGGCAGGGAACCAAAAGAGCATTCTAAAGCACACACTATCTATGAAATACAGAGCAACCCCCCCCTCCAGGTCCCACTGGTGCCACGAGGCTAGCTTGGCTCCAGGCTTCCTGCCCACAAAAGAGAGAATCCCAGTTTGTTTTCTGAGTGTGGATTTTTCATGCAAGTTCCTTAAAACCAGATGCTCCCGGGTGAGGACATGGATGTTAAGTAGCCTCTTGTTGCATTCTGCAAGCCTAAGAGCTTTGCTCTGACAATTCTGTACAAGATCTCCCCTCCCTCCACTGTTCATAAACTCCAAGGCCAGAAGGGACCTTTGTGATCATCTAGTTTGACCTACTGTAGGACACAGACCAGAGACCTGCCCCACAATAATTTGTGACAAAAAGTTCCTCCTCTACCTTGGTGGGTCCTGCGCTTATTGGCGGATTTGCTCGCCTCAGAGATTCATGGCAACCCTCAGTTTGGCCACTTTCGTGGCTCAAATCTCCTGTTTTACTCAGATAACCTCATCACCAGCCAGCAGGGGGAAAAGGAAAGAGAACAATCCCTGTAGTCTCTGCTGATCCACCATGTGGGTTGGGGAACAGCCCAGAGACCTTCCCCTCTGGTGGAACCCACAGTCCAGGTCTAAAAATCGACTTCTATAAAATCGACCTAATGTCATAGTGTAGACAAACCCTATTAGTTTCACTGGCCACAGCACGTCACCTTCGGCAACCTCGGCTGCTCTGCTCAGCCCCAAAGGCTGCTGCACTTCCAGGGACACTGGTGACATGTGAGGTACTTGAAAAGTGCCCACGGTGAGACGGTTATGGATCTTAAGAGGTGCTGGAGCTAATGGGAACTGTGGCTGCCCAAGATGTCAAGTTGGGTTCCTAAAAAATGGAGGCTATCAGTGAGGCCACTTTTTAAAAATGTGTGCCATTAAATGGTCAGCTAAGAAAGATTTAACACAAGCATGACCTATTATTACAGGGTATTCTATTCTGGTGTACAGTTAGCAGCTAGGAAGACATTCATGTGCATTTGTCAGCTCCTAGAAGGACTTTAGCTTAAATTTGGAAGCTAAAAGCATAAATACTTTAAAGCAATTCCTTTCACTGCTTTGGGAAAGTTACTGTTAACTCTATGAGGGTCATTTCAGGGCAGTTCCCAGGAAAGAGGCAAATAAAGTTCATAACAAAACTTGGCAGGTATCACAAAGTGGCACTGTTACACAGTCTCCAAACCCTTTTCCTAGGCATGTGAGCAAGTTTTGACCCTTGGGATGATATATTGTGCTTTGTTAGTTTTGGATTATGCCAGGTTTGGAGTAGAGGCAGCTTTGGGACAGGAGAAGCTGCGTGAGGAGCAGGAGAGATTGCTCTCTAAATACAGTCTGCTCGAGACAGAGCTGCTGTCTGGGAACTGGTGTGGGGTTGAGATTCCTAGGAGAAGGGATGGCCCTGCATGCAGCTTGACCTTCTCATGTCAGGATTGGTGTACTGCAATTTACCCTTACAGTGTATACAGACCGATTTCAAACTTAAAAGTACGTTGGTATAGCTCAGGGGTCGGCAACCTTTCAGAAGTGGTGTGCCGAGTCTTCATTTATTCACTCTGATTTAAGGTTTTGCGTGCCAGTAATACCTTCTAAAAACGTTAAAATGTCTCTTTCTACAAGTCTATAATATATAACTAAACTATTGTTGTATGTAAAGTAAATAAGGTTTTTAAAATGTTTAAGAAGCTTCATTTAAAATTAAATTAAAATGCAGAGCCCCCTGGAGTGGTGGCCAGGACCCGGGCAGTGTGAATGCCACTGAAAATCAGCTCACCTGCCGCCTTTGGCACACGTGCCATAGGTTGCTTATCCCTGGTATAGCTCAAGTTCAGTGGCCACAGCATGTTACCTTGAGTCACCCATGTGTGATGAAAACTAGCTGGCTGAAAACCCTCATGGATAATCACTGATTTCTCCCCCTCTGCGAAGCCAACCTGCAAGACCTCGGACAACTGCTACTGCTTGACGGAGGGGCCAGGTTGGTGTCAGAAGGGGATACTGGTGTCAGAAAAGGAGGCATCCAGGCTGTTAGTGCAACTCTCTGTTCTGCTGTGATAACAAAACCACCCCTCAGAAGTGTATCTGAGTCCAGAGGGATAGAAATCCTGCTTGTACATGTAGCAGCATAATAATTAACGATATACACCCAGTGCTTAATTTGTAATGAAAGAGGTGCCGGGGCTCAAGCTGAGTAGCTGGAGAGTGGCGGCTGCTGGCTGGGCACCCAGCTCTGAAATCAGCACTGTTGTCAGCAGCAGCAGCACAGAACTAAGAGTGGCATGGGACAGTATTGCCACTCTTCCTTCTGTGCTGCTGATGGCAGTGGTGCTCAGGGCTGCCCGGAGGGGGGGGGCAAGTGGGGCAATTCTATAGTATTGCAACTTTTTTTATGGAAGGGGCCCCCGAAATTGCTTTGGCCCAGGCCTCCTGAATCCTCTGGGCGACCCTGGTGGTGCTGCCTTCCGAGTTGGGCAACTGGAGACCTGCGGCTGCTGGCCAGGAGCCCAGAGGTGTCGGTGCTATGAACTGCCAAGCCTCGAGGTGCCAGGGCTCAGCCCCGGCACAAATTAATCACTGCCTACACAATTATAGAAGACAGAAGTGACCATATGACAAATCTGTTTCACTAAAGATTTACTGTAGGATTTTGGCCACGGGGAAGTTGTTGTCGGCATGCCAGGTGACAGAGTTATATTACAGGGTGTCACACACGTGCATTTAAGATCGTAGGAAAAAACCCTGCAGTGTATAATACAAACAGGAATTTCCAGACTGGATCAGACCCAGGTATGGACCTAGCCCAATATTCTGTCTCTCACAATGGCCAGCACCAGCTGCTTCAGAGGATGTTGTAGCTGTGTGGGATAATGTGCCCCCATATTAGGTCTTTTCCTGGTCTCTACTAGCCAGAAATTGGCTTCAGACCTGAAGTGTGATGTCCAATCCTTTTTTGAATCTTATTAAAGTCTTGGTCTCAACAACTTCCTGAGACAATGAGTTCTGAGAGATAATATGTGACCATGTAATAAAACACAGTGTCCTAATGCTTACAGTGTCCTAATGCTTTAGGATGTGCGGGGCCCAATTCGAACATTTTCGGCGGGGCCCCGGCAGGGATGACTAAAAAAAAAAAAAACCACGTAAAAAACCCCCTTTCATTTCTTCCATGTATTATTTGCTTTCCATAAGTATATAAATAATAACAAAATTATATATTATGTACATTACATCATATATGCTGTTGATCGGTTATTAATGAGCTCCGTTTCACGTGTATGGGGCC